GATTTCTCATTTTCAAATATCAATGCTAATAAAATCATAGTACCTGGCATCTGACACATATACCCACTTTTAAAAAGCAGAGGTTCGTCTGTAAGATTACTAGAATGCCAACAAAATTAATGAATTATAGTGTTATACCATGGAAATGACTATATTTTAATTAATATGTATATTAAAATAAATGACTATAGCATTTTCCCATTTCATTAAAACTTTCTTAGTATTATCTTAATAGAAATATACATAGTCAATAAATTAAAATCTTCAGTTTCATTCCCGTTATTTTGGAATTAAGATATTGCTTTTCTCCAACTGCTTTATTATATATTCTTAAACTTTCACTTTTAATCACCTAGATTTTCCTCAGTTCTCATTTAGTAAATGAATTCTAACATGTTCCAAAATAAACAAGTTTATTATCCTTCCTTGTCTCTTACCTCAAAAGAGCTAAGGCTTTGGATTTTGCTACTCCTGTCAACAGTACCATTTTTTTCATGTCACAAAAGCTTGAATTCCCCCTCCTCCCTTTAACTTCTTATCTGAACTGCTGCTTTTGTGCCATGAACTTTGTACACATTTTATATATATATGCACACACATGTATATATGTATGATAGCTAGCATATATATGTAGAGCCAGCATATGTGTGTATGCACATAAATATGCTAGCTCTCATGTAGCTAACCCTCCATGTATGTGCTAGCTATCCTGTGTATGTGGGAGATGGGTATAAGAAACTAGTATTCATTCGGTGGTTACTATACAAGATACACAGAAACTGTTCACATTTCAGGAGTAATTATGCCTTTATTTGAAACTTCCAATGACTACAGCAAATAGATACAATTACTTCTATTTTACTGATAAATAAGTTCCAGAAAAGCTTTCCTTAAGTTCAAACAAATAGGAAAGGAAAAAACTGGGGTTTCAACTGATCAGTCTGCTTCCAGAACTTGAAGCATCACAACCTATGTTTTCTCATTATCTATCCCATCTCTTTATCACAGTGCCCCTCATGTTCTCAAATACTTATTAACCTCTATTACATTCCCCCTCCATGTGTTTCTCTACTGTGCTTTATCCCTCCATGCAATTTACATCTCACTACGATTCATTTTCCTGAAACATGACTCCAATCTTATCATCCTTCTACTTAAAAACTGCTAATAGTCTCTTTTTGCTAATTTCCTCTGTTACCTTTCTTTCATTACTGTGTTAATCAGGGCTGTCCAGAGAAACTGATCTTACAGGCTGTGTATATATAGAAAGACATTTATTTTAAGGAAATAGCTTATACAATTGTGAAGTCCAGCAAGTCCAACTATCTGCACAGTAGAAAGGCTGAACATGAAGCAATGAGATGATTGTACCGTTAAGTCTGAAAGGCTATCAGGCTGCAGATTCAGGACAGGGTGGAAGCTGCAGATGAAGTTCAAAGGCTGTTTGCTGCAGAATCCCCCCTTGCCACACATCATTCAGCAAAATTGGGTATTTGAGGGTCCCCAAAACCGACCCAGATAATCACGATGGTGTGATCAATCATGTAGAGCCAGACATCCTGGAATGTGAAGTCAAGTGGGTCTCAGGAAGCATCACTACGAACAAAGCTAGTGGAGGCGATGGAATTCCAGTTGAGCTATTTCAAATCCTAAAAGATGATGCTGTGAAAGTGCTGCTCTCAATATGCCAACAAATTTGGAAAACTCAACAGTGGCCACAAGACTGGAAAATGTCCGTTTTCATTCCAATCCCAAAGAAAGGCAACGCCAAAGAATGCTCAAATTACCGCACAATTGCACTCATCTCACATGCTAGTAAAGACATGCTCAAAATTCTCCAAGCCAGGCCTCAACAAAACCTGAACCGTGAACTTCGAGATGTTCAAACTGAATTTAGAAAAGGCAGAGGAAGCAGAGATTAAATTGTCAACATCCATTGGATCATCAAAAAAGCAAGAGAGTTCCAGAAAAACATCTACTTCTGCTTTATTGACTATGCCAAAGCCTTTGACTGTGTNCAGTCCATCCTAAAGGAAATCAGTCCTGGGTGTTCATTGGAAGGACTGATGCTGAAGCTGAAACTCCAATACTTTGGCCACCTGATGCAAAGAACTCATTCATTTGAAAAGACCCTGATGCTGGGAAAGATTGAGGGCAGGAGGAGAAGGGGACAACAGAGGATGAGATGGTTGGATGGCATTACCGACTCAATGGACATGGGTTTGGGTGGGCTCCGGGAGTTGGTGATGGACAGGGAGGCCTGGCGTGCTGCAGTTCATGGGGTCGCAAAGAGTTGAACACGACTGAGCAACTGAACTGAACTGAAAACCAACTCCTCCTTCTCCATCTTGTTCCTTTCATGGTGCTATTCCAATTTCTTCAATAGTTCATTCCTGCCTTTTGCCTCAATATTTAGTAAAAGACATGAATGAGTGAATGAGTAAGAAAGAAATGAAAAACACCCCTCCAAATATCAAAGTGAGTACTGTCTGAAGTCAGAAGGCTTCAACAAGTGTTAACCCACAAGAGGGAGGGAATATATGTATACTTATAGCTGATTCACGTTATTGTACAGCAGAAACTTAAATACAACATTGTAAAGTAATTATACTCCAATTTAAAAATGTTAACCCAGTTAGTTATTAATACCATTAATAACTGTCAATGGTATTAAAAGTTCTTTGGCCCCTAGTGACTAACTTAAAGTCACTTGCTACTTGTATGCCTAATGATCTTGGCCATGCCACTTGGAGGCAGAGAAACATTATATTTATAAGGTATGTTGTAAGGTACACATAGACATACATATATTTAAGTCAACACACATCTCCCAGTTTTCCTGCTAGTGTTTACCAAATCCTCTTTTATGGCCATCATTAAAAAAATCTACAAATAATTAATGCTAGAGAAGGTGTGAAGAAAAGCAAACCCTCCTACCAGGTTGGTGGGAATGTAAATTGATGCAGTTACCATGGAAAACAGTATGGAAGTTCTTTAAAAACTGAAAGTACAGTTGTCATATGATTCAACAATATCACTCCCAGGCACATATGCAGAGAAAACTCTAATTTGAAAAGATACATGCACCTCAATATTCATAGGAGTACTACTGACAGTAGCCAAGACCCAGAAGCAATCTAAATATCCACTGACAAATAAATGGATAAAGAAGATGTGGGACATATATACAATGAAATATTAATCATAAAAATAGAATGAAATTATACCATTTGCTGCAACATAGATGGAACTAGAGATTATCATACTAAGAAAGCCAGAGAAAGACAAATAGCATATGATACTGCTTATATACAGAAATTTTTAAAAATGACAAAAATATACCTAATTTGTAAAACAAATACTCACAGACTTTGAAAACAAATTTATGGCTATCAAAGGGGAAAGTTTAGGAGAGGAATAAATTAAGATCTTGAAATTCACATATACATACTATTATACGGAACATGGATAAATAGCAAGATTCTGGCTTAAAGCTCAACATTCAGAAAATTAAGATCATGGCATCTGGTCCCATCAGTTCATGGCAAATCGGGGGAACAGTGGCTGACTTTATTTTTTTGGGCTCCAAAAATCATTGCAGATGGTGATTGCAGCCATGAAATTAAAAGACGTTTACCTTGGAAGGGAAGTTATGACTAACCTAGACAGCATCTTAAAAAGCAGAGACATTATTTTTCCAACAAAGGTCCATCTAGTCAAGGCTATGGTTTTTCCAGTAGTCATGGATGGGTGTGAGAGTTGGACTATAAAGAAAGGTGAGCACAGAAGAATTGATGCTTTTGAACTGTGGTGTTGGAGAAGACTCTTGAGAGTCCCTTGGACTGCAAGGAGACTCACCCAGTCCATCCTAAAGGAGATCAGTCCTGGATGTTCATTGGAAGGACTGATGTTGAAGCTGAAACTCCAATATTTTGGCCACATGATGCAAAGAACTGACTCATTTGAAAAGACCCTGAGGCTGGGAAAGATTGAGGGCAGGAGGAGAAGGGCGATGGAGGATGAGATGGTTGGATGGCATCACCGATTGGGTAAACTCCGGAAGCTGGTGATGCACAGGGAGGCCTGGCGTGCTGCAGTTCATGAGGTCGCAACGAGTCGGACATGACTGAGCGACTGGACTGAACTGAACTGATGGTATACAACAGAAAATTATATTCAATAACTTATAGAAAATTATAAAATAAAATTAAAAATAATATATAATACACATATACTATATACCAGAAACTAATACAACACTGTAAAACTGTAATCCATAAATAAATATGGATTTTTCCTTTCTCTGATAAAGTCCCTGAGATCCAAAGCAGATGATTTACAAGCAGATGATTTCTCAAAAACCCAAGAAGAGAAATACCAATTCCTTTCAGAAAGCTCATTTCCTCTCATGGCATATACAGAAACCAGTTTTAGAATGTCAAGATTCCCATCTTGGTCATTTTTCCGGGATTTTCTTTTTTCCATTTCTAAATCACCAATTCAGTTTAACAAATAACAGTAGTAGACAATAATGCGTGTCATTCCCTCCCATTCCCACACCTTACTTTCTGAGGAACACGATCAGCATTCACGCTTCCCCTGGGCTGTGAGCTCAGCAGCAGCCAGACCACACGCGTGGCCACTTTTCCCCACTGTAATGGCGGCCACATCTCTGCAACAGCCTGAGGGTGTCCGAGTCCTCTGCGCTCTCTGGGCGGCCCCCTTTCCTCAAGCACAGCTATCACAGGGCCCACATCAGTGGGAGGGCGCCCTGAGGCCCCCTGCCCCCGCCGCCCAGGACCTTCAGGCCCCAGGTGTTACTGCAGGGCCCCCACAACTTCCCGTTCCTGACCGTCTCCAGCGCTCACAGGAGCTTCCTTGGTCTCCCGGCTGTGCGCTCAATAGCTGGGCTGCGTTCCACAGGCCTGCGAGCCCTGGCCCTGCCCAGCTTTGAGACCAAAGAAAGAGCCTGGAGTCGGCGACAGAGAGGTCAAACTTACGCGTCTGAAGCAAGGTCCTGGAGGGACACCTCAGTGTGCGGCAGAAGCTTGTGGGCAGCACCCAGCAGCAGGCTCCGGTCCCACCGGGAGGGGGAGGGGACCGGTTGTAGGGGGAATTGACATCTGGTTGGCGCCTTGGTTACCAGGGAAACTAGCGGAGGCCCGCCGCCCCTCACGGCCCCTTTAAATAGGCTAGCAGGTGGAGATGTTCTGATCTAAAGGTCAGAACAATCATTGGCCAGGGCTGAGCCAAGTACGTAGGAAGGTCAGTCAGGTGAGTAGGGTGTAGGCTAAGTGGGTACTGGTAGAAGAAGGGGCTGGCAGAGAGCAAAAGAATAGCCATCTTGGGTGGCCCGCTCATACCTACCAATGTACCGCTCTGCCTTCTTGATCCATTTTTCATGGTATGCCTCAAACATAAGACAACTGCCAAGACTTGCTAAAGTCAGTTTAGAAAAATAGAAAAGAAAGCTAAAAGAAACTAAAACAAAGGGAAAAAAAAATAAAGAACTTGGATGAGACAGAGACAATGTGAGAAATAAACTTTAAATAATTTGAAACTGGGAATTTCCTGGTGGTCCAGTGGTTAGGGCTTTGAGCTGCCACTGTAGGAAGGCACAGTTTGATCCCTAGTTGGGGAACCAGGTTCCTGCAAAAAAACAAAAACAAAAAACACTGAAACTTTTGAACTGAAGGGTAATGGTTTCAAATCATGGTTGTCTAACTTCTTTCATGAGATATCCCTAATGGTGGAGCAGGATGGGCTAGGATGGTTACAGTGAAAAATTCTGTATCTTTAAATGTTATAATCATGTCACGACTTAACCCCACACCCAGTCTATGTCACAGTCACAGAATCTAGCAGAGATAATTCACTCTGGTGTACATCCTAAATGATAAATGCACTCACATATACACTGAACACAGTCATAAATGTTATGTCAGGGCCCTTTAACTATAACACTGATTTTACGAGAGTGGAAATTAAGAGGCTTACATAGTTTGTGGGGGCTTCCCAGGTGGTGCTAGTGGTAAAGAATCGGTCTGCCAATGCAGGAGACACAGGAGACTTAGGTTCAATCCCTGGGTTGGGAAGATGCCCTGGAGGAGGGCATGGCAACTCATTCCAGTATTCTTGCCTGGAGAATCCTATGGACAGAGGAACCTAGTGGGCTACAGTCCAAAGAGTCAGATACAACTGAAGCGAATTAGAGTCTGTGATCATTTGTGAGCCATCAGATCTAAGTTACTTGACATCCAAGTTGCTATAGATTTTGGTATACTGAAAAGGCTCTCAGATAATCACAGGCTTTTCCCTCCTGTGAATCAGAATTTAGCTAGTTATTTTCCTACACCAGAAGAATACTGTGAGGAAAGTAGTAACTAAAGCATTTTGAATCCTTCTTAATGAACGAGTATGACTTAAAACACAGACGTGCAAGTATTAACGCAAAGACTCAGTGAGGTATTATTTAAAGTCAGCTGTAACTGCTACACGAAAAGTGATTCCACGTGTTAACATTCAATAAGTAGAGAGAAAAGTCTTTTGGGTCTCAATCAAAATGTCCTTAAGTCCAGTGGTCCCAACCTTTTTGGCACCAGGAACTGGTTTTGCGGAAGACAGTTTTTCTATGGGCTAGTGCGGGGAGGGGTGGGTGATGGTTTCAGGATGATTTAAGCCCATTACCTTTATTGCTCACTTTATTTCTCTTATTATTACATGAGCTCACCTCAGGTCATCAGGCATTAGATCTCGGAAGTTGTGGACCCTTGTTTACACGTGTTTCAATTGTTTTAGATGAAGTTTAGATCCAAATGAAAAAAAAATGTAGATTTAGGTGTACAATCTACATATGATTAATCACATGAAAGAATCAGTGAAGAAATGACAACTTCCAAATACCGTAAGAATTAAGGTTTAAAATGTTTTGGAAATTATTTTAATTTTCACAAAATATATTGGTCATTTCAACTTTAAATTTCAATATTTAAGCATAATTGAATGGATTGATTTATCACAAAATAGGCGTTTGAAAAACAGTCCTTATTAAATGGCCATCACTTAAAAATTAGAAACTCTTACAGATATTCACATTTAGGAAAAAGACATTACTAATCAAAGCTTTATAGGACTTTTTTTGGCCTCTCAAGGTTTTAAAGCAGTTTCACAAGAAACATGATTTGGGGCACATGAGTTCTATCTTTGGCAACAAACCTACAGTTCACAATAAGATCCTGAAAAAAAAAAAGTATCATTTCCCCTCACTTCGGCATGTTACAAACAAGAAATAAATTTCCTGCAGTTCTTCCTATAATTGTTTACTTTTTTTTTCATATTAAAAAAATAAAAAAGCTTATATGACAGTGTAATGTGGGGACAAGAGGGCTGGGAGAGAAAGCACACCAGAGGTATTTATTATACAAACAATAACTTTCTGGAAATCTGCTTCTTCATCTGAATTCTAAGAATAGAGAACCACTGCTCAATGAAACTGTCTGCAAAGATGAGTAGGTAATACTCCATAGTGTGCCATAGAGTAGCTACCAGCTAGTCAGATGGGGCTATTCAAGAACTTAAACTTTTACAAAAGGATACATTTTTCTCATTTCATTTAATTTTCATTAATTTAAATTTAAAAAGCCCCATGTGGCTAGTGATGATTTTGGACCGTGCATGATGACAATCTATAGAGCCTCCTAATTCAATTCTCTTTTGATTCTGTATAATAACATTTAATTCTAGCCATACAACCAAATAGGTTGGAAAGTTACATCTCTACAGAAATCTGTTTAAGTCAGGATATAAAACTGACAATGGGATTTTCTTGGAAACATCTAAATTCTTATTTGGCATAAGCCAATTATTATGTGACAAAATTATTTCCTAATTAATAATGAGGAGAAATGCATTGGAAATGCTTCTCAGTGTGAGGACAGGGAATGAACTTCTCTGTTGGACAAGGGTCAAGTCATAAATCACATTTGTGGCTGTGTCACTCTGGACATGCCACTTTATTTCTTCGTATTAAGGCAGGAGGTAGATGTCCTCCCCCTGCCAGGGTAAAGCAACTGGAGATTCATTCCCTGTGGACCAATACTCCAAGATGAGATTGGCAGGACAGTTGAGAGGGGAGGCTGGGCCCTGTCTAGATAGAAGATAAGAGACTACCCACACTCCTCATTCTCAAAGACAGGAGACCTCCCTACCTACACATGCACAGAAAGCCTCCTTGGACGTCAAAAGGGGAACGAAGCTAAGTGATGCTTACTATCCATAGGCCTCTTTGGTAGAATCCATCTTGGCTAAGAGATGCGTGCCCACACATGGGAGGATCCTGAGATAGACCAAATATGGACTGTGAACCAGGCAAATCAAAATAACTGGCCAAAGGAAAACTGGAAGAAGTGCCCCAAATAAGTAATTTAAACTGTCATGAGGGTGCAACTCAGCGATTCTCTGAGTCTGCCCATGTGTCTATCCAGTACTGTACTCTTTTTCCTCCTAATAAAGACTTTACTTGTTTCACTATTTCCATATTTGTGGGAATCCTTTTTCTGCAAAGCTGAAGAGCCAGGGCCTTTTCACTGACCACTGGTCTAATGTCAGGATTTGGTCCTCTCACTGCCATGACCCAACCTCAGTCTCTGGATGGGGAACTGAAGCCCCATTTCAATCTGCTGCAGGCTGAGGTCAGAGATTAGTACCTTAAATTCTACATCAGCAAAAAAGAGCCAAAAATAAATACTTTATCTGTGTTGTTATGAGCACCAAACAGGATAATAATATGTGTTAAATATCTAGCACATTCTTTAGCATATAGCAGAACTTTAAGAGAGCGTATTTGCCTCCCCAACATTTTTTAAAAGTTAATTTAAAAAATACTTTCTATACAATCTTTATCATAGTCTGGAAGGTAATCAATTGTTTTCATTTGCAGAGTTCAAACACTGAACAAAAGAAAAATATTCTTCACTTTGAAGGCCCTTTCTATCAAACCAGCAACTTAGAGGATTTCTCCATCCACTGTTGGTCTGGCAAAGAAGCCATAACCTTTTTTCTTTTCCGTTCTCATCTCCCTTTGTTCCCTGCTCATTTCTAAGTCTTGCCTCTGGCAATGTTGGCCCCCATCCTCCCAAGGAGACCCTGACATTTAGGGAAGAATCTCTTGGCTTCCCAGGTCGCTCAGATGGTAAACAATCTACCTGCAACTCAGGAAACTTGGGTTCGATCCCTGGGTTGGGAAGACATCCTGGCGAAGGGAATGGCAACGAACTCCATTATTCATGCCTGGAGAATTCCACAGACATACAAGCCTGGTGGGCTATAGTTCATGGGGTCACAAAGAGCTGGACATGACTGAACGACTTTCCCTTCACTTCACTTCACTAGGGAGGCCAGGATGCCAGTGACTCCATGCCCCGGCAGTCTCTGCCAAATAAGTGGGAGCAACTTCCTGCTCTGCTTGGGCTATGCCCAGGCACCCATGTGCCAGCAGCTGTGTGGGGTCTGTTCTCACCATGGGCCTCTCATTCACTGCTGAAGCATTCTTGGAAAGTCAAGTTCTAAAGCTAAACAAACAGATAAATTTTGCAACACCATGCATTGACATTTTATAGCATGGTGGTGTGGAGGCTTCAGGGGAAGTAAAAACACATCCACTAATTTTTTTTTTTTTAATGGTGATGATACATAGAACTTGTGAAATAGAGAGTCATTACCTTGCTGAGTTCTTTCTTGGTTTAAATCTTCACTTCCTAATTTGAATTTTAGGCATAGAAGTAAGAATTTTTAAGAAGTCCATTCTTATTAAAGGATATTTTTCTCTCCTTCAGTTTTCTTTTTTCCCTCCTTCCTCTTCTTTTTAATGTTATTTTTAATTGGAGGATAATTACTTTGTGTTATAGTGATGGCTTCTGCCATACATCAACATGAATCAGCCACAGGCATACATGTGCCCCTTCCTTCTTAAACTTCCCTCCCACGTCCCTCCCAACCCCACCCCTCTAAGTTGTCACAGAGCAGCAGCTTTTGGTTCCCTACATCATACATCAAATCCCCACTGTCCATCTGTTTGACATATGGTAATGTATATGTTTCAAAACTATCCTCTCAGGTCATCTCACCCTCTCCTTCCTGCACTGTGACCCT